GCTTGATTCAGTCATTGTCAAAATCATCAAAGACGAAAAAAAAAAAAAGAAATACCTGTTTAAACTAACTACACTATTGTAGAATCAAATCGAATAATCCATTTGCGCACAGGGTCATTAACCATTTCTATGACTCGCTCTCGGCAACATTGAATCATCAAGTCAAATTATATACAGAATATCAAAAATTACAGTCTCAAAAGCAACGACTGAACAAAGTGAGGCAAAAGTACAAAATGGAATTGTTGGATATTGAAAGGAAAAGACATCAAGTGAGAATGAAGATAGAAGAAGAAAGAACAGCATTTGAAAAGATGGATCAGAGAGAACTAGTAAGCGATGACTCATAAAATGATCCTCTTTTATAACATTTTTTTTATATAAATAGATTTTATCAAACTTGGATACCTTTTTTAATGATATTCAGTCATTAAAGATTGAATAGAACAAAAAAAAAAGCCCAGCATGATGTGACTTGATTCCTGTCATTGTAACACGTTTCTCTTTTTTTTTTTTTCTTCTTTCTTTCTTTTGTCTTCTTCTCTCTTCACTCTTTACTCTTTTTTCTTTTTTTTTTTCTCTTTTTTTTTTTTTTTTCCTATTGTTAAAACAATGTTTACAGATAAAAAAAAGATTGAAAAATTCAACGCGGAAATTATATCAAGAGTAACCACTTTTCTCGACTTGTCGTCTATTTTACAACTTACACTCACTTCGAAATCCTTTTGTCACTTAATGAAAGACGAATTTGTATTCAAGCGTCTTGTTGAACGAGACTTTGGCATAACTGATAAAAAACCAGAAGAGTCATGGGTCACAATCTATAAGCAATTAAAGACAGGAAATGATCAAACAACGACGATGAATGGCAATGATTGTCCTCATCACTTGGATTATCCTGAAGCAACATCAGCATTAATAATAGAGATCAAACGCGTTCTCTATAAAAGCTATCAACAGAATCCTTCTCTATGTGATATCTGTCAAACACAAAACGCCACTTATTTAAATATGCACCCTGGTTGCCATAGTGAAGGTATACGTCTATATGACTTTAATACAGGGGGTGAGCTCACTCGTTCAAAATATAGCGTGTCGTACTTGTTTAGATAATTTTGTAGATGATGAAGAGCATTATCCCATTCAATTAGAATTAGATACAGGCAATTTATACTGCTTTCAATGCACACAAGGCCAGCCCTACAAAGTAAATTTTATAAACACAAATAGTACGTATTGCTTACAGAAGCTTGTAGATTGACGGATCATCAAAGACAAGTACGATATTGCAAAGTTTAAATGCACCAGAATCAGACCAAGAATTAGACTTGAGACGTAAAGCCGAACACTTACTTTATATTCAAGAACTAAGACGAGAGGAGATGTCACTAAAACATTATTTTGTGGAAAAGCAATGGGGAAGATTGTGGATGTTGTTTAGAACACGTAAGATTCAGTCTAGGGCGTCCTTTTTGGATATTGACTCTTTGTATTAGGTGAAGGATCACCATTGCCTGGACGCGTCACCAATAACAAATTAGCGCGTAGTAATGGCACGCTTGATCCAAATATTCGATTACCTATGGACAAATACCGCCCTTCACCAGAGACTCATGCCGACATTGTAAGTGTAAAGCTCTGGAGATATCTGGAAAAGGCTTATGGTGTTCAAGGCAAAGCTTATAATGAAGGTAAGAACTAATCATTGTGTCATTGCGCAGAGTATTGAACCCTGATGATTAGATGATATTATTGCACCTGAATATGCAAGATTGAGAGTTTATGTAGACGATTTCAAAAAGAGCATTGATCTTTATCCTTGAGTCTTTTTTGTTTATTTTTTTAATAAAGAAGAAGAAAAAAGAGACGTTTAATTTTTGTATTATACAATATGTGTGTATGTGTGTGTAGAACAAAAGCAAGAATTTGATTGCTATATTTCTTTTTTTTTTGGTATTTGTTTTATACAATACAATAAAACAAAGGCTATACAATGTAGAAAAATGTATGAGGGTTTATAAAAATTTACAGCAAAATAATATATGAAAAAAAAAAAAAATGATTAAAAAGATTATGGCAAGTGATAATAAAGCTTTGGATCCCAAGAACCTTTCTTTAAACCCGATTGTTTAACGACAGCAATTGTATCTTGTCCTTTTTCAAATCGCAAAACGGCCACCAATTCTACTTTATCATCTGGTTTAAGACTGTTGACGATCGACAATACGTGTTTAGCAAAATAAGATCTCTGAATAGCGTCTTGAACAGGCAATTTAGGACTTTCCAAGCATCGAATCATCAAATGTTGAGGCAATGACGCATAAACGCGAGCCAAATCCATAAATCCCCGCATGGGAGGTGTACGCGAGGGCATATAGCCACAAGCAGTGACTTGCCCGATATTGACGTTACCACTGACTTTGATCAAAGGTGAAAAGGCTTCCAACTGGGTAGGCATGACCGCAGCGAGATAAGTCACAATGTCTTCCTCGAGTGTCTCGACCCAATGACGTGGTTCTTCTTCTTCCAAAGGCTGATAGGGTTCCATGGCCTCGATATACGTCATGGCCGTCTTTTGGTTATTCAAGTTTTGGTTCAAGGCTAAAAGCAAGTGATCCAAAAGTGGTTCTAATCCCAATTCCTCCGCAGCTTCGAGTAATTCAATGGCAATTTGGGGTTTCTCGTTGGCGAAAAACATGATTTCTTGAGGTGTCAAGGGTCGATAGAGGTGCCCAATGATGGTGTGAAATGTTTCCGGAAGTACATAAAGGTCAAGTTCGAGCGTGCTTGTCTGTTCTTCCATAATACGTTGACAAAGGACAGGTGATCGACAGAGAATGGCCGAGTTTAAAGGATAGGTCTTTTGTAAGGTAGGTACATAAACTGAAATGTCAGAGTAGCCTATATTGAAAACAAAGTCAGCAAGAGCTGTATATTATAAAGATTGTGTCCTTACCTTGGTACATGAATCCCATGGCTGGATAAGCTCCATTAGCATAATCAATATATTGCTGAGATTGGTCATACATGGGTTGATGAGGATGAGGTGGAGGAGGAGGGGGATGAAAATAGCCAGGAGGATGGTGAGGGTGAGGCATGAGATGGTTGATCATGGGAACAGGTGGCAAGGGTATAGGCATCTGTTGATGTTGTTGAATAGGAGGGTGAGGGTGAGGTGGAGGTGTGGGATGCTGGTAGTTGTTATGTTCGCCATTCATAAAGTTAGCAGGTTTATAATGTTCGTTATTATAATTGATTGGCAAAACTTGAACCATAATCGTTTGATCTAAGCGGTGCTATTCAAAAGCAAATAACAAACAATAATAAAAAAAAATTAAAGAAAACACACACGCTTGGAAGAAAAAAAAA